TCACGCAAATTCTTCTGCTAGTTGGGGTTTAGTCCAAATCTGCATCCTTTCCTTCAAGGCTCAGGGGTCCAAGATTATCTTCTGTGTCTGTATCAATTGGTTTCCCTTTTCTTTGTTGAAGAGGGTCTGTGCAATCCTTCTGCCTAGTCCGCCATCTTGCCCCGCCTCCTTCAGATGCTTTTTTGCTTCTTTCTCAGCCTTATTCTGGAAAGATGAAATTGGCAGATAGTGACCTAACTGAGGATAAAGAGGTATCATTGTGCTAGTGTGCTCATTTCAACTTTTGGGTGCCATGGTTTCAACTCCAGGCAAGCCTTATATGAAGACAGGGTAAACAAATCCCACTTAACCATTCTTAAGCCCTTTATTCCTCCTTGCAAATGTTCTTTAACATCTACCCTAATAGCAATATTATTTTAAGTGGAAATACAGATTCTTCTGGTAAAGGTAAGGCTTCAAAACTTTAGTATGAATAAGTTTTAGACATCTCTCTGGAAACAGATTTAGAGAGAGACCACAGCATATCTGTCACCAGCATAGGGCACCCCCAGAGGAACATGACTTTACCTGCATCACAGCTTTGCAAGTTTAGCACTAGTCAGTGTGTCTTTTTATTTCTCATTTTAGGCTATCCATCCAGGATATGGTTTTCTTTCAGAAAACACAGAATTTGCTGAACTGTGTAAGCAAGAGGGAATTATTTTTATAGGTCCTCCTCCATCTGCAATTAGAGACATGGGTATAAAGAGGTATGAGTTTATATCTTTTTATGAATTTCAATTGAAATCGTTTGTTTAGCTACAATGGGTATTTTAATTACACCCTTTGTTGCCATAAGCATAAGTTATATGCCACATAGGGAAATCTCAGTGAGTTATAGAAGGTAAGGAGCTCTGGTGGCACAGTCATTAAATCATTTGGCTGCTAATCAGAAGGTTGGTGGTTCAAACCCACAAGCCGCTCTATGGGAGAAAGACAAGGCAGTCTGCTTCCATAAAGATTTACAGCCTTGGAAGCCCTATAGGGCAGTTCTATTCTGTCCTATAGGGTCACTGTGGGTCAGAATCAACTTGATGGCAGTGAGTACAGAAAGTTCTAGTTAATGTTTCTCTTTTTTTAAAACACTAATTAGTATTTCTAATCTATATATTAGTTAATTTTTTGGGATAAAAACAGATAGGATGAGCCACCCCATGAAAAACTGGATTGAGGAAAGCTAATAGATATATTAATATTTGTTATTTCAGACTATAGTCCTTTTTACCTATGCAATATTTTCTTTAAAAAGTTACATTGTATTTTTAGAAATACTGTATTTGTATTTCTCTTATATGAAATAATTCATAGAGTGGGAGCAGCTCTCTCTCTCTCCCTTTTCATATATATATATATATATATTCTAAAGCACATCCAAATCCATAATGGCTGCTGCTGGAGTACCTGTGATAGAAGGTTATCACGGTGAGGACCAGTCCAACCAGTGTCTGAAGGAGCATGCTGGGAGTATCGGTTATCCTGTCATGATTAAAGCCATCCGTGGTGGAGGAGGAAAAGTAAGATCATATGTGCTTATGTTTCCCATTTCAGGCTAGTCTTTTTTATCTTACTTATGTTGTAGCCATAACCATCTTTTTTTCTCTTAGGGCATGAGGATCATTAGATCAGAAAATGAATTTCAAGAACAGTTAGAATCAGCACGGAGAGAAGCTAAGAAATCTTTTAATGATGATGCTATGCTGATTGAGAAGTTTGTGGAAACGCCAAGGTGGGATGAGCTTTTGTTTTTATTGTTAACTCAGAATTTTTTAATTATAAAAGTAATGCAAACACATTATGTAGAATTCTGATAGTACATAAGATTGTACTTCTCCAATGCTATCCCCTGACTTAACCACTGATTATGGTATGGTATACTTTTTTTAAACATGTTCTATATAAATGGAAATATATGTACACTAACACACAGTAGAACAGTGAATAGGATCTTATATCATAGACATTTTTCCATGTTGTTAAATACAGATCTACTGTGTATTTTTACAAAAAGCAAATTTATTTTACTTTTTTGTTATTATTGAGAATATACAAAGCAAACAGATAACACCAATTCAGATTTTTACATGTACAATTCAACGGCATTGATTACATTCTTTGAGATGTGCAACTATTCTCACCCTCCTTTTCTGAGTTGTTTCTCCCTCATTAACATGAACTCACTGTCCCCTAAGGTTTGTATCTAATCTTTTGAGTTGCTGTTGCCAATTCAATCCCATATAGATAGCATAATGCCCTTATATAGCATAATGCTCAAGGCAGATATTTTTTACTAGTTAAGCTGTTATGTAAAAATGATGGTGTGAGGGTGTCAGACTTCCTCCTGTAACATATGGAGGGCAGAGAATCAAAATCAGCATCAGCCTAAGGCTGATTCCTATGAGATGGAGGTCAGACATACCTCCTCCAATCCTTTTACCAATTCTGATACCAGCTCTCCTTCCCGTGACACTCTGTACTTCTTTGCTGGATTTGATAATTCATTGCAATGGCCACACAGAACTCACTGATCATACTCAGTTATGGGGTTTATTAGGGAAGTACCAGGTTACAACTCAAAATCAGGAGCAACTCAGGATACAGTTCTTCTATGATTAGGACAACTTCTTAGCTATGCCTGCAGGCAGACCTCTCTGGCTGTCAGCCTCTGATCTTTGTCTTTGCCCTGCTCAGGTAAGTGTTACAAAGTGCTTTAGCTCTGCCGGTAAGTGCCCAGAGGCACCCCACTCCACCAGTCAGCCTCAGCCCAAAAGCTCTCATCTCTCTTGCTCTGTGGATCAGCGCGTGCCCAATATAGCCACCTCCCTCTATGGGCTGGGAAGCCCACTGTGCCTTTTCACGTTGGTCTCCTGGTTGTTGTTGTTGTTGTTAAGTGCCGTCGAGTCGTTTCTGACTCATAGCGACCCCATGCACAGCAGAACGAAACACTGCCCGATCCCGCGCCAGCCCCACAATCCCTGCTATACTTGAGCCCATCATCGCAGCCACCGTATCAATCCATCTCGTTGAAGGCCTCCCCCTCTTTCGTCGACCCTCCACCCTACCAAGCATGACATCCTTCTCCAGGGAATGGTCTCTTCTTACAACATGACCAAAATAGGCGAGACGAAATCTGGCCATTTTGCTTCCAAGGAGCATTCTGGCTGCACTTCCTCCAGGACAGATCTGTTAGTTCTTTTAGCAGTCCATGGTACTTTCAGCATTCTTCGCCAGCACAACTCAAAAGCATCAACTCTTCTTCGGTCTTCCTTATTCATTGTCCAGCTCTCACATGCATACCAGGCGATTGGAAATATCATGGCTTGTGTCAGGCGCACCTTAGTCCTCAATGAGATATCCTTGCTCCTCAGCACTTGAAACAGTTCCTTCGCAGTTGACTTCCCCAATGCTACACGTCATCTAATGTCCTGACTGCTGCTTCCGTTGGCATCGATTGTAGAACCAAGCAACATGAATTCCTTGACAACCTCAATCTTCTCTCCATTTATTGTTGATGCTGCTCATTGGTCCAGTTGTGAGGATTTTTGTTTTCTTTATATTGAGACGTAATCCATACTGCAGACTGTATTCTTCAACCTTCATCAGTAGGTGCCTTAAGTCATCCTCACTTTCAGCAAGCAAAGTTGTATCGTCTGCATATCTCAGGTTGTTAATGATTCTTCCTCCAATCCTGATACCATGTTTTTCTTCATATAGTCCAGCTTCTCAGATTGTTTGCTCAGCATATAGATTGTATAGGTGTGGAGAAAGGATACAACCCTGACGCACTCCCTTCTTGATTTTAAACCATGTAGTGTCCCCTGGTTCTGTTTGAACGACAGCCTTCTGGTCAAGGTACAGGTTCCTCATGAGTACAATCAAGTGTTTGAGAATTCCCATTCTTCTCAATGTTATCCATAATTTGTCACGATCCACACAATCAAATGCCTTTTCATAGTCAATAAAACACAAGCAAACATCTTTCTGGTATTCTCTGCCTGAATAAGGTCTCCTGGTTAAGACCCTTTTTGTTGGTGTCTTAATGGTTCCATGATAGTGATATAGCATTAATTTATTTAATTATTTTCTTGTTGCTGAAATTTAGAGTGTTTTGTATTATACATTCTTTAAAAAGTAAAATTAAGCTGTATTTTATAGAACCCTAAAAACATCAATTGAATGCTCAGAGAAGCAGCTATCGTTTCTCTGCCACACTTCTGACTACTTCTTGCCACCACACTTTGCCTAGTATTACAACTTTCTGTCTCTGGGGTCCAGAAGATTTGGCACTGGGACCCTGGTTCCAAAGGACACACTCCACACCCAGCTCCTCTTTCTTAGTGGTAGTGACGTCCCCCCTTTCCACCTCTGGCTTGGCTCATTTTAAGGCTAGTGGATGGCAAAACTGACCAGTCCCCTTATTAGCATTATTAGCTAGTTATCCAATCCCCTTGCTGGGCCACAAGCACCTGGTGGCATAGTGCCTGAGGCATTTGACTGCTAACCAGAAGATTAGCGGTTCAAACCCACCAGCCACTCCTTGGAAGGAAGGTTGGGCAATCTACTTCCGTAGTGATACCACCTTGGAAACCCAAGGAGGGGTCACTATGAGTCGAATTTGACTCCATGGCAGGAAGTTTGGTTTTTTGGTTACCTCATCATTTGGTGGGAATTTCAAGAGTATGGCAAGAAAAGCCATATAAAAGCAATCCATTGCACCTCATATTGTTTGGTTTAGAGAAGACTTCAGGAAATATTTTTGGCCTAAAGTTTAAAGATTATCTTAGGGCAATAGTTTTAGAGATTCATCTAGCTTCCATGGCTCTAAAAAGTCTAGAGTCCATGAGTATATGAAATTCTGTTCTGTACCTTGGACTTTTTATTCGTGTCTTAATGGCTCCATGGGGAGCTCTGGTGGCATAGTGCCTAAGGCATTTGACTGCTAACCAGAAGGCTGGAGGTTCAAACCAACCAGCAACTCCTCAGAAGGAAGGTTGGACAGTCTACTTTCATAGTGATAATGCCTCAGAAACCCAAGGAGGGGTCGCTATGAGTCAGATCCAACTCCACGGCAGTGAGTTTGGTTTTTAGAGAATGGTTCCATGATAGTGATATACTGTTAATTTATTTAATCATTTTCTTGTTGCTAGAATTTAGGGTTTTTTGTAATATACATTTTTAAAAAATAAAGCTGTATTTTATAGAACCCTAAAAATATCAATTCAATGTTTAGAAAATGGAAGGTTACTCAGATTGAATTGTTGTATATATGTTGTATGTTAATAAAACTAATATTAACAGATAACACTTACATAGCACTTATTACGTCTCAGAGTCTAAAGATTATACTAAGAAAATAATAAGCAATTTTGCTGACCTCCTAATTCTAATCTAATACAATCGTCCTATTAAGTTGGTACTATTCCTATTTTGATGGGAGCTCTGGTGGCATAGTGCCTAAGGCATTTGACTGCTAACCAGAAGGCTGGTGGTTCAAACCCACCAGCCATTCCTCGGAAGGAAGGTTGGGCAATCTACTTCCATAATGATACCGCCTCAGAAACCCAAGGAAGGATCGCTATGAGTCGGATTCAACTCAATAGCAGTGAGTTTGTTTTTTTTGGTATTACTGTTTTGAAGGAGATCTGGTGGCATAGTGCCTAAGGCATTTGACTGCTAACCAGGAGGGTGCTGGTTCAAACCCACCAGCCTCTCCTTGGAAGGAAGATTGGGCAATCTACTTCCATAGTGATACCTTCTCGGAGACCCATTAGGGGTTGCTATGAGTCAGAATCAACTCAATGACTGTGAGTTTTGGTTTTTTGTTTATTCCTATTTTGCAGGTGAAGTGTCTGAGCTACAGAATGGTGATATGACATGCCTGAGGTTGCCCACATGATAAGGGGTGAGACTAGAATCTAAACCCAGGCAGTTTGACTCAAGAGGCCACACTCTAAGCCACTGCACTGTACTGTTTCTTTGTTACACTATAGCAAATGCCATGAGGATTTCTGAATTTTTTTAATTTTTGGCATTTTACAGTAATTTGCTTATAAGAAGATACTGATTTTAAAGTTTTCTGTTATATAGATTTTGTGTAATATATATTTTTAAATGTAACTGATACAAGTGACTTAACAAAGAATAATTCATTTGGGGACTGTGACCAGAGAAAGATTTACCGTGAAGTTAATGAATTGAAGTTTCAGATCCTTCCCTTGCATAAACCACTTCCAAGATCCTATACCTAAGTCTGTATTTGTCATTTTGACCTGACTCAACTCATTGCTGTCAAGTCAATTCTAACTTATAGTAACCCTGTAGGACAGAGTAGATCGAACTGCCCCATAGGATTTCCAAAGCTGTAATCTTTATGGAAGCATACTGCATATCTTTCACTGTGGAACAGCTAGTGGATTTGAACTGCTGACCTTTCATTTAGTACCCAAGTGCTTAACCACTACACCACAAAGGCTCCTTTCTTCTTTAAGAGGCCCCTCACATTGCTTACATTTCAGACCCTGTAAAAGTTGGATCTGTTTCTGATCATGGTGAGTAGTTCAGGTGGTGCAGTGGTTAAAGCATTCGACTGCTAACCATCTACTCTATGGGAGAAAGATGAGGCAGTCTGTTTCTGTAAAGATTTACAGCCTTGGAAACCCTATAGGGTCATTCTACTCTGTCATATAGGGTCACTATGAGTCATAATTTACTCAATGGCAATGGGTTTGG